GTTGTTTGTAAAAATGGTTATTAATAGGACAGTTTTGAAATCACCAATGCCATCTCTGGCAGGGATTGTCACGTATAAAAAATAGATGGTTCTTTCAAATATGAAACACTGTATGTTCTAGATTAAAAGGAAGATGGAAAAGTTCAACAATAAAAATTGAGGACATTTTTAAATTTTTTTGTTGTATTTAACTTATGCCTCTTATGGCAGGCATTAGTTAAATTTAACTTTTCTTGGAGGCACAATTAGTTCCTGTGGTTAAAATTCCATTGAAGTTTTATTTCTGGAAATGTAATTCTAACTTTTTTCTTCTCTGGCATGGTAATGGATAGAATGAGTTGTCATAAGTGCATTTCATTAATAAGTTGTCACCGTAAATGAAGGATAGGTATTAGAGAAATCTGAACAAGCAAAAATATAGGTTAACTTCATGTAATAGTCTTTGACTTTAAAGAATACTTGTGTTCTTTTGTGTTGAAAGATGAATATTTCGATCAAATGAAATGTCTGCACATGCCTTGAACATCCATATGAGTTATTCATTCTTCAGGAGATGATGTGTATTAGTCTTACTCAGAACTGTGCGGATTTAAGGTATGTTAGGATCTTAACCTTAACTGTCCAAATTGTTCATGTACATTGAGGAACAGCTCCAACATTGATCTCTGTGATCTGAGATACGTGGTATGAGATGGAGATTCTTTCTGGCTTGCTTGCCCAGTATAGATGCAAGATTTGGATCTTAGTTCATCATGTTCTCTGTGGAGTTCTGTGCTTTGAGATCACATAATGTGAGATTTAATGTTTTTATGGATAACACCCCCCCCAAACCCCAGTTTTTGACCGACAAGATTATTTGTGATTTCATCTGTGTGCACTTGAACTTTGACTATCTGTTCAAAGATCATCAGTCTATAGTTCTTCATAAAAGATGTTCTGGCTGTTTTTTTACTTCCAATGTATTCCTTCTCAGTCAGTGTGTATAGAAGTATGTGGACCAAAGGGATTTTATAGACAAAGCTCCAGGCAACGGAGACTTGCTTTCTAGTAAAGTTCAGAGTAAATTAAAAGCTGCATGTAAATTCAACAAATGTTAGTGGTTAATTAACTAAGAATGTAGAGCCCTAAGGCCATAACATTAGTATTTATAGTTTTGTAGTAAGATGCTCTAAACAAGTTGTCTTAGCTATAAGCCATTTAAATAGCATAATTACTTTATGGCTTAAATACAAGGGAATGCTTCCTGGAAGAATATATTTTTAAACTCAGAGCAGTAAGTGCTTGGAGGATTAATACCAAAGTTTAGCACAATCAAATTGTCTGTCTAGTTTACGTGTGTTTAGCTATAACTCATATGACATTTATCTAGTTTAACGCTTGTAAGGTGACCCTAGTTCTCTCCCCAATTATTGTAGCCTTTTTTGACTTTTTATACACTTGAGATTAAAGTTTTATAACCAGTATCATGTGCTGCTTAAATTCAGCAGAATTTGGTTTATGTTATATTTACTTCTCACATCTACTGTATTAATGATTGTGGTATATAGATTTATACTTCTACTGTTACATATTTTGTGATGTCACCATAATTTGAGTAGAAATGCAATTAAAGGTGCAGTAAAAAGCATAGCTACATTATATTTTTTTAAATATAGGATATAGAAGATCCTATGTAAAGAATTAAAATACTTGTGCTAATTTTCTGTGGGCTTTGGTGAAATTTATGTCTCAAAACTTCAGCTCTAGGACACAAAATGAAGATGAGTAACAATTAATTTGATGGTTTATCTGCCTTTATAAGTAGAAAAAGTCAATAGTTTCTGTTTTGTTATTTTTTTTGCATACTTTTTATCAAACACATGTCTTTGTTTTGCTGTAGTAGTAAGTTAAATGAGATTTTCTATAGCTTAAGAGAAACAGAAAATTAGTCAGAATAGAACAGCTATTAATAGAAAAGTTAAGACTGAAAAAAAATTGACGCCTTCCTGTTTCGGGAAACCTTTTTGTATAACAGCATGTTTAATGCCAGACTACATCAAAGTTAAACAAATGAAAAGCCACCTAGGAAGAAAGTGAGATTACAGATTGCACTCCTAACAATACTATGAAGATCTCCTTGGCTTGCAATCTTTATGTAGTATTTTATGGGGATTTTTCTTAAAGGTAACTGAACTCGTACCTTTTTTTCTTTCTAAAGACCGGTGTCTGACTTTTAAGTGAGACATGGTGAATGTTTACAGGTGATCACGACAACAAGTAATTACTGTTGGAATCCTTTAATACTGTTAACTTCTGCACTTTACATTGTAGCTGTAAAACCAGATATAATGCCATGTAAATGAGTAGTATCTTTTTTTTAAAGGTAATGGTAAATATGATGTTTTTTGCCTTTCAGGGAATCGTATTACTCGGTAAGAAACAATGTTACAGTTTTCAACTTTGTGTCAAGGGTGAGGGTGATGCTACATTTTGTGTTTCAGGAACAATTTCCGTGCTTTCTGAAGGGTAAGGTACTGCTGTCTCTGAAGTTCGTTTGTATAGGTGTAGAAGACAGCAGACTCATCAGCTTGCATGCGTGTCAGGATTCCTCCCTGGAGAGCAATGGAATGGTTCTTTGGTTGGTCCTCAGTTTCTGTGACACTCAGCAAGAATGGCAGTATCTGTTTTAGTAGTATTTGATAATAGAAAAGGGTGTCTGATGTAGCGTAATGGTGCAGTACGTACTTCTTCTGGGAAAGTTACGGGATAGAATTATCTGAGTTGTTCCAGTTGGAAGTCCACGGTTTCATTTGTTCTCCTTTAATAACTATTTGTTGATTTTAGCCAATAATCAGTGGGAAGATTGAAATTTAAATTCTCCATCTGTGTTCTTGTCTAATTAAGCTATTCGCAGCAAGAATTTCTTTAAAATATTTATAATAAGTGGTGAAGTGATTGTGGCCTCAATATGTGGGCCTCACATAAAGAAATACAACAGAACTATTATCTTGATATTTCTCTACAGGGGCTGTCATCACTCACCAAGAACAATGGACTACTCAATATCACCTTTAAATATGACAGTAAGTTGAAAATTTGCACTATATTCACAAAAATCAAGGCCTCCATCACGGCTGTCAATTTATAGCAATGTGTCTTTAAAATGTCTCTAAGAGCAGCCTGAGCTTGTTAGTATCAACAGAATTTTAAAATCTAGATTTGTTTCTGCTGGGTCTGGTGGATCTTCTCCTTCCTGTGTTTCACTGATAATAAAATGTAGTTAGAACTTTTCATAGCTACAGTGCTAAAGGGCTGGGTTAGTGGAAAACTGCTGTCTACATTTTCAGTGAAGACAGATGGTTTTATTACCATAGCAGATGTGATCTGTTTTGCAGCTGAACTAAGAAGATAATAATCTCTAGCACAGTAACAGTAATAAGCAGGATGCAGCAATAGTACTTCAAATGTCTACTAAATGGCTGTATCTTATTGTTCTCATTTTTAAAGGTTTTTGTCATCTGTGTTGTCTAGTCAGTAAAATATGACTATTGACTGCATTGGGAATTTATCCTTATTTGGGCAATTAGTGGCCATCATCAATATAATCTCAATGTACAGTCAAGAGAAGGTCCTAATTTACATTGGTAATGTTTGTATTAATGCCAGTGCAAGACATGGGTTGGTTTTTTTGCCTACCCAAAGAAATCACCTCAGATGCTGAATGTGGGTAAAATTTCTTAATTGAGAGCATGTATCAGGAAGCCTAACCACAGTGCTTTTGATTAATTCTGATCATACTTTTGTTCCTCTTATTTATTTTTATTTTGTTTTTAATCCAATTTGATATTAATATTTAAAAAGAGCAAAATATGTCAGATTGTACAAGAGTTAAGTGGTAGCTACAAAAGAGTTATGATTTTTTGTCTACATAAAGAAAAATAGGAAATAATATCAGAGGTCCCCACATTTAGTTAACGCAATGGAGTCTGTTTAAGTTCCAGTGTCTGTCATGTTTTTTTCGTTAATTCTGGCACCAGGAGCTGTGTTTAACCAATGACAAGTGTTAATTCAGAATTCTGCTGGCACTGCATGCTTCCTGGACAAAGGAGTTGTTTGAGTTCTGCAGTACTAGGAAAAGACTTCCCAATACCATGGCTAAAGAGTTCGTATAATATGGAAATACATACTTATCGTGAATAAGCCAGCACAAGAGAGAATTTGGCTTGCTGGCTGTGATTTAAAGGCTTTTATTATGGCACACAGAAATTCTAGTGAACTGTGTTTTATGTTGTTAAATTAGTTGGTTAGATTATTTGTTCAGGTAAAAAACAACAGTTTGTATGTTTTAGTATTTCACTTGTATTCAGGTAAAAGAAGTGCAATTTTCCCCTGCTGTTTTCTTCCTAAATCCATTGTTCTTTAAAAATGTAAATCAGTGACTCACAGTCAAACTTCAGACATTTGTGCTATATTCCTTTTTGGCAAATTGTTATTTGACCATAAAATTGTAGTAACCAGAATCCAAAATCTTGGGCTTGCTATTAATTGGATCCAGACCTAGCAAAAAACCCTGTTACTTCAAACTTTCCGTTGAAAGAGATACTCTTGTCTCTTAAGAGGAAGTTCGTGCTGTCATTGAGGTCACTCGTAGCAACAGAATTCTACAAACAGCAGAGTAAGTACCAACTGCCCAGCTTTTGTAAAAGGCAATGTCGTACAAATGGTTCTATTCTTATTTGCGCGGCAGTTACATAAAAGATCCCTTACCATTGTAATTCACAGTAAAAAGCCATTTTCTTAAACTGCTTTTCAGTTAATAATTTTACTTTCCTTGCCTTTAGGATCACACCTCTGAATTAAATTTTAATGTCCCGCATTGGCTGATAATAACATATGATTTTTCATGTTTCATTTCTACAAACTCTTTCTAGACAAATACATAGCATATAGATTATCTCAGTTTTTTAGAATCAATCATCAGTCAGTAATACATAGTCTATTGGTCAGCTTTCTCTGGATTTTGTTGGCTTCACTAGTTCAAAAGCAGAATGTTTCTGTGTACATGTCTTCATGTATACTGTGCTCCAGAGCTATTGAATTCTCTGGCCGCTGCGTCTCTTCCTGCCACAAAATATGAGCCTAAACATTGTAAAGCTTTAAAAGTAATACAATTTGGGGTTATTTGTTTTTTTGTTTGCATGCATAAAGACACGGTCATGTTCAACAACAAAGTCAAGAATGTTTTTCTTTTCTTAATGAAATCTGAGGTTTTCTGTAATCACATGCTTGTGGAGCTGTAACTTGAGGGAATACACAGTATTTTGTGCGGATAACAAGACAAATCCAGTTCTAACTGGATCCAGTGGCAGGAAAATGGTCTGCGGGGATGTGGCTACTGAATGGATGACAGAGATGAGACGGATTTAGGCAGTAGGTTCTTTGTGGTCAGGATCAAGCAGTATTGTGGTTAAAAAGCACTTCTTGAACACCAGTTCTAAAGCTTCACATTGTTCATTGTTCTCATACTTGCCTGATGATTGACCAACATTCTCTTGCTCTAAGCACTTTACATCCACAAAATTAATGTCAGTCCTCACATTCTTTTGAGTAATTAGTGAGGAAAAGTTGTTCTTGCTTGGGAGTTCCAACACGTGTCATTTTTACTCTTACTGTGATACAGGCTACACTGGTATTATAAACTGGTAATTTCCTTTGGAGTCCTATGAACTAGGGTTTTGCAACTGGTGAAAGTGGTTGTGCTTAATGATCTGTAAAGTTTTGTGGTTTTCAGTGTCCTGAGACAAAAGCTTCATCTAGATTTACTACACAGTACTTATTTTTATAAATGAAAAGTGCACAAGTACTTTTATTTTGCTCAATCTTGAAGAAATATTAGGAAATTAACATAATTCTTTATTTACATGGAAAGATGTGGGTCATGTTGGATACTGGTTGCTTGAATAGATATTGGAGGTTAGGCTGGCAGATTATGATTTACTTGCTCTGGTATAGCATGAGAACATCAGCTAGAATGTTTTTCTTAAAGCGTTTCTTCCTCCATATTTTTAGACTGCACGCCTTATCTGAATTCTGTGGGAAGACATGTGATTGGAGATGTGCAGAACATAACCATCAGTCAGTATGCATGTTACGAACAGGTTGCAGTGACGATACTTTGGACTGCAAATGCCATCGGTAAGTAAGACCAAAATGGGCTAATTCATCATGTCTTCCGTAATAACTTCCTGCTGGAATCATTGAAGCAAACTGCTTAAGAAGAAAGAAATTCTTGACAGCTTTGCAAAGCTGATGTTTTTGCTAGCTCACTTGAAATACCCTTAAAACTAGGATGCTATCTGCAGCCACACACTGCTTTTTACTATTCCAGTTTGTTGATTTTTCCCTGCTCTTTGGAACTGTGCAATAGCCTGGATTTTGTTTTCTGCCCCAAGGCGTTGGTGCATTTCAGTGGCATTGATTGAGTTTAATTGCTGATACACTTAAAGATTCTTTAGGATGCAGATTGTCTTACAGGTGGAAAACATTATTTAATCATAGCTATACAGACTTTAATGTGTTTCCTTGTCAGATATGGTCACTAAGAGTATTCTTCAATCCCTTAAATGTCTCTGGAAGTACCTTGTTGCCCACTAGAGCAGGAGGCTCCAAAGTGGGGGGTGTGCAAGATGATCCACTGTGGCATGTGAAGAAAATTTTAGAACCTCTATTTACATATTTTTTAGATCTTGAAAACAAAACTAAGCTTTACTAATACTTTATATATGGATTGACACTGGCACCGTTTTGGGGTCTCTGTGTCAGATGTTCATCTTTGAGGTGTGGTGCATGAGGTATCCTGGAGGCACAGTGGGTGTTCTGCAGCGTGGAGGGATTCCTGGTGGCACACTCACTCTTTCACTTGATTTGAGCGTATTGTGATGTATTGCAGTGTGTGGGTGCCAGGTGAAGTGGATTTACTGATTGTATTATCTAGTTTTAACTAAACTAACCATCATGAAATGGACAAGTGCCTTAAGATAATTGAAGATAATACCAATAATGCGAGCACATGTGAACAAGAAAATAGTAGAGCTGACAGTTCCCCTAACCCTAGTACAGGCTCTTCATCAGCCACATTAGAAGGTAAAAACAATGACTATCTAATCAGTTCTGATAAAAAGTTAGCCAAAGTTATCAAAATTATCAAAACTATTTGAAATACAGATTTACACTTGCCACTGTTAATGACGAACCTTGACCTAAGTGTATAGTGTGCCTTGAGATTTTAGCTAATACTGTGAAGCCATCAGGATTAGAAAGACATTTGGAAACTAAGCATCTGGAACATGAAGACAAACCTCTGCAATTTTTTCAGCGATATTTAAAGCCACATGATACTCAATATAAGTACAAAATTTCACTAAACTTAATGATAAATCTGCAGAAGTCTCTTCCTGTGAAATCTCGTTTGAGATTTCTTACTCAGTTGTGAAAGAGCAAAAGCAACGTACTGCTGAGGAAACACTTTTTCTTCCTCCCATGGTAAAGCTGGATGAAATAATACAAGGAAATATTGGAATGACAAAAAGGATTCTGGGCTAAGGTTACAGAGATAGCACCACACATGAAATTCAGTCATTGCATCATTCATAGGGAAACTATTGCAGCAATGAAGTCGGAGCCAGAAGTGCACAGGATGTCATCAGTGTGATTAGTTTTATAAAAACAAGATATTCAAGTAGCAGAATATTTACAATACTTTGTAATGAGATGGCGAGTGACCATGAAAATCTTTTGTGCCATGCAGAGGTTCACTGGTTATCTTGTGGCAAAGTGCTTAAGAGTTGTTAACCTCAAATCTTTGAGTTAAGCATTCTTCTTTCACAAAAAGAGAAGTGTTAAATTTCCTGACCTTTTCTCTGATGACAAGTGGCTGTCAGTAGTATGCTACCCAGCAGATACTTTAAAAAACCCCAAACAAACCAAAACCACACTTAATGTGTCTCTTCAAGGTAAAGCTGACATTTTAACAATGAGAGAGAGTAACTGCTTTTTGAAAGAAACTCGACTGCTGTTGAAAGATATTTTTGAAAATGGATGTTTGGAAATGTTTCCTTTGTTATGTGATTTTGTTGCTGAAAACAATGCCAGCTTCTCACCTATAAAAACTCTCATAATTTACACTTAAAAAATCAGGAAACAGAATTTCCTAGCCTGTTGAAAAATCTTCTGAAGGCACAGTTTCAGTGGGTTTTGAACGCATTTGTTAAAAATATGAAAATGCAACACATGGAATCACAGAAATCAAGGCATAGAATCACAGAATGGTAGGGGTTGGAAGGGACCTC